AAGGGCAAAATAGTTTCTGCTGGGTATTGAGGGGGTGGGGGGGAGAGGGAGGGGACGGAGTGGGTGGTAAGGGAGGGGGTGGGGGCAGGGGGGAGAAATGACCCAAGCCTTGTATGCACATATGAATAATAAAAGAAAATAAATAAATAAATAAAAATTAAAAACCCTCCTATTTATAAAAAAAAAATTGTGTTTCCAGTTGACAGGAAGAGAAAAACATTTTGTGGATTAATTTTCCTTGAATGCGGTAGACACCATGGAAGGGTCTAGGTCCAGTTTTCTACCATGCAAGCTGTACCCCTATTTAACATCTCTTAGAAGGCAGCTCCCCCAACGCCTGCAGCTTGCTTCCCACTCTCTGTACATTTTAGCACACAACCTCTTTCCCTGGCACGCTGACATCTTGCCTAAAGTTCCTGCAAATCCATGCTCATCCTTTACAGCCAGTTAAAGGTGCCCTTTCTTTTGGACCCCATCATCATCCCATCAGGACAAGTAACCTCCTTCTGGGTCCAGGAACCACGCTCACAGAGCTGTTTTACCTTATCATATTGCAAAAACATGTTTGTATATTTTCACGTGCTTTCCGGTGACCAAGCAAAAGTGCATTTCATATATCAGCCCAGAGACTCTGGTCCAGTTCCTCAGTAAAGACCATTAGGAACTGGATCCCCATACTGTTGAAAGACAACAGAAGAATGCAATTCTGTATCTTGTGGCTCTGCCTTTCTCTGCCTCATACAATGTGAAAAAAATGAAATTATATTTTAAAAACTCACTTCCACAGGCCCCAAGTACTGCAGCTCTCTGAAGAGATTCCAGCATAGACAAGATTCGTGTTGAACTAAACTGAACACAAGATTAGACAGCAGCGATCACCACAGAGGTTTAGTTTCTCCTGAAGCATCTTGAAGATTCCACAGAAAATCCGCACTGAATTCTATCACATTTGACTTCTAAATAAACAACCCCCTACCCTGACTCTGGGGACATTAATGGCTGGATGAAGGCAGATGTTCTGACCAGACAATCATTCCAAACATCGGCCCCTTCCTGGGTCAACCTCCTCCCACCAGGGAAGCATGTTGTGTTTCTGGCCTCAGAAATACCAAAGGGGAGCAGCATCTGCAGGGTGTGAGGAATTCCATGTCACGGGGGCTCAGTCCCCCTCATGGATCATCCCAGCCCTGCACCCAGTATTCATCAGTAGCAGGACCCAAATATTGAAACCTCAGAATCACTTTACACTCTGAAAATCCCAAGAACCTTTTGTTCACATGCAGTATATTCATTCATATTTACTTCTTAGAAAGTTATTTTAATAATCATGCATTCATGAATCATTTAATTATAATGAACAGATTATATGCTAATATAAACACACTTTGAAAAAGCAAGTCTGTTTCCTATAATAAAAAGATTAATAAGGAAAATAGCAATGATTTCCATTTTCTAACTCTCTCTCATGACTGACTCTACAGACATCTTACTTCCCATAACTGCCCTGCATTCATCCGTTACACCATATTGTTTTCCTGAGCTGTATTTTGAAAAAGACTGTGTCCTAGCATAGATGCACAATGGAAAAAGTAAGCACTTCACAGCTGCTTCCAATGGTTTGGGATCACCAGGGTTCTAGGTCCACACTTGACCTAATCAGTGAGCACCTCTCATCCCTCAGGCCCAGCACTGGGTTCTGAGAGGGACCCGTGACACAGTCACAGAAGATGGCAGGGAATGTTGGGGGGTGAGGGTGTGAGTCTTCTCCTGCTCTGCTAATTACTGAGACAATAAAAGGTTTGGAGTTGCTGCCATCAGCTTATCAACATGTGGGGACATCTGTCTGAAAAGAGAAGCAACACAGAGGGGACAGGGGGATGGCGCAAGAGAGAGAAGCTCAATTCTGTTTTCACCATCTGAGTTCTGATAAGCTGCTCATTAAGCCATAACAGTACCTTGTTACCTAGGACGGTTTAACTGTGCTTTCAGGTTTGGGACATCACAGAGACCATGTACTTGGAGAGAAGGGGTTTCAGGTGCTAAAGAGCAGGGAGGAAATGGTTATAATGAATTCAAGATTAAAAATCCATGCTGTGTAATTTTTTCATCTTCACATGAGCAGCATTTTTAAACAGAGTGGAATGAGTAGGTCTCCTTCAGAAAATTACTTTTGAGTAGACTTACAGTGCATGAAAAAGTTACCACGCACATGCAGGTGGATGGCATAAAAAAGTTACCAGGCACATTCCAGGAAGGAAAGAAGTAAGAAAACTGGAAAAGAGGCTGGGCGAGGTGTCTCATGCATGTAATCACAGCCACATGGGAGACAGAGTTTAGGAGGATCAAGGGTCGAGGGAAGCCCAGGCAAATGTTAGCAAGACCCTGTCTCGACACAAAAACAAGGTGTGGTCACATGTGCTTCAGGTCTCAGAGACATAGGATGCCTGAGGTGGGAGGGTCACAATCTGAGGCCAGCACTGGTGAAAAATGCAACACCCTACCTGAGAAATAACTAAGGTAAGACAGGGCTAGCTGCATGTCTCAAGTGGTAGAATCCCTGAGTTCAAATCTCAGTATTGGAACAAGAAGAATGAGGAGGGGGAAGGGGAGGAAGAGGAGACAGGAAGCAGGGAGGAGGGGAGAGCAGTGAGTGAGAGGGAGAATGGTAAGGCTTGGAGGAGGACAGGTCAGGTACAGATTTCAGAAGGCTTCTAGCAGAGGTGGGCTTTGCAGTGATGCCAGTGGGAGCTGTGGTGTCTCAGGAGCGGTGGTCATGTCTTCTAGCATGAAGGGAAAAACCGCCATCCTTCATGATAGATTAGCTGGGGTTATAAGAGAAAGAAAGGAGTAAAGCATTCTTCACACTTTGACTGAAAAAGAGGAAAGTCATCTGCAACTGAGATGGGAATGCTGTTATTCTCTTCCTAGAAGCCACAGGCTTATAAACCAGACCACAACCCAAGCACCAGTGACTCACACATTGTGGTCATTTATTTGATATTACTTAAATGAATGAGCTGACATAGAACAAGCACTGTCCAAATGTCTCCCTACCATGCAGGCTCCTCTCCCTGGCTTCTCTCGCCAGGCTTATGAGACAGGCTGAGTTGGAGTCAAACCTAAGCTTGGTGGTGTGAACACCATGCTTGGAGATGAGCCTTAATTTCCATCTACAGAAGACAGCCTTGGTGAGCAGCTACTCTTCTTTCAGTCAAACGTGTCATGTGGAGCCCTCCTTTGTGTTACGTGTCACTGTGTCACTGGTGATCAAGACGTTATTACATAAGCCATTAGGGACATTTGAGACTCAATCCATAACAACCAAGTTACAATGAAAATTCCATAAATTGCGTGCACTGACATTCCCATACAGTCACTGCATGAGGGAAGCTGTGCCTGGGAGATACTGATGGTTGACATTCTGTGTCAGCAGGTCAAGAGCAGACAGTGCAAGAGTATCATGGGGCTGAATTAATTGCACGTATTCACCACTCTATTCTTGTTCATGAAGTCTATATAGCGAGGCATTGATCAGCCACAACACCAAGGTGCTCAACCGTGCTTTTTATGAAACTGCAGATGTCTTTTACTGACACAATGTAATACAATGTTCATCCATTAAAAAGAAAACTTAACACAGGGGCATAATTCTGGCTATTCCAAAGGATGAAAGTATGAATCAAGCATGCAAATGTGCCACTAATTGGGCTGCATGATTGGTTATGCTACAAAATACTAGAGATCTGTTGAAAGATTAGACATCAGTGAGGCTGGAGATGCAGCTCCGTGGCACAGCACTTGCCAAGCATGCACAAGGCTCAGTGTTGGATCCCCAGCACCACACCAAAAGACAAGAGCCAACTTGACCAGACAAAAACTCACATCGAATTCGTGGTGTATTTTGATCAACATGGGCTTATGTTTATTCAGGATTCAAATATATTAAAAGTTCTCTCCTGAAGGTGCTCATTATACAGCTAGACTTCCTGCACTGCCAATGGAGCAAATGAGGGGAGCTGTAAACGCACACAGCAAACTTACACAAGGACAATCAGAGAACTCTCACGGGGCCTGCTCTCAACACACACACAGGGCAGGTATTGTCTTAGTCATTTCTCAGGACACAGCAACAAGTCTGATGATCACCAACAAATGTCTCCAGGAGCCAGGCAAGTGTCACGCTGACTGAGCAGACAGGCTGACAGGCAGATAGGAGAAGCAGTCAGTGAAGACACCTGATCCAATACCCTGTTCATTGACACAGGCAGGAAGAGCTACTCAGTGCCCCAGCCACCATCAGAGGACTTCAAGATGAGACAGGAATGGAAACACTCCCTGTGAAACTGGCTGTCCCTGGATCTGCTGTTCTGAGTACCAGCCCTGACTTTATGGACCTTGGCACTTCAGTGCCTGCCGAGGCACAGTCACAAAGCCTGTGTTCATTCAACAGGCAACAGGGAGGATCATCCTCAGAATGCAGATCCCTTCCTCACACTCTGTCCTGACAGGGTGACCTGTCCTTCTAACGCACCAATGGGAGTGTTTCTGGGTACCGGTTGGTCTCCCAAGTGAAGAAAGAAGAAAGCAGTTGCCCAAGTGGGCATGTAGCAATCTGTGGGTTTTGCAGGTTCAAGACTCGGAACGCTCCTGGCTCTGCCAGCTCCACCCACAAGGCCTGCTCTATATCTACTGTGCCAAGTAGGGTGGACCTAAGTCCCTGACCTCAGGACAACCAGCTGGGTGTGTTCTCACAGGAGACACAGCACAAGACTGGGTAAGGCATGGAGCCCTAGAGCTGGGACGGGATGGGCAGTGGTGGGCCAGCACAGGAGAGAGGATGGAGCTGAAATTAGTGGCCAAAGACTTGTCATATTTTGGAATGTGAACTGAATGGCCATATGACCCACAGAACAGCAGGGAGCCTATAGGCTGGGGCTAGTGTGTGTCATAACTGAGTCAGGACTCGGGGGCAGTCACTTCTCTTCTTTTCCACAGGAAACATGGTTGCAAAGCTGCTCTACTCCCGACTTTGCCTCCTGCTGCTGCTGGGGCTCCTGGGAATAGTGCCCTTGTTGCAGGCCGTGCCACCTGGCTTAACTACGTATCAGTGGTTCGCTATCCAGCACATCAATACCGGGAACATCCAGTGTAATATTGCAATGCTGAGAGTTAACAACTATACAGGAAATTGCAAACGCTTTAACACTTTTCTTAATACAACCTTTACTGATGCTCTTAATGTTTGTAACAACCGAGTTACAAACTGCAGTAACAGAATATACCAAAACTGTCATAATAGTTCAGTTCGGGTGCCTATAACTGAATGTAGCCTCACTACACCCTCACATATTATTAGAAACTGCGGATATTCTCAAAGACCGAATACAAAGTTCTACAGAATTGCTTGTGATCCAATAGCTCCACCAAGGAATCAAACCTTGGTTCCAGTTCACTTGGATGGGACATTTTAGCTCCTGTAGCAGCACTCGTGCCATCGCTCATCGGCCAGCTCCAAAACCAGAGCAAGACCCGGTTCCTTCATCCACCTGCCGTGTCAGCACCTGTCATGGAACCAGTACCCGACCCCCTTCAAGCTTAGCTAGGCTGTGGCTTGTGTAATAAACATCTTCGCAGAGTCCTCTAGATGTCTGTGTGTCTCTTCTTTCTGTCCTGCTGTCATCTAGTCACAATCGTCCTGGAGACATTTCCCTTCCTCTCCATCAGTTTTTGGGGAATAGAGAGATGGAAGTACAGAGACTCTTTGTATCAGGGAGGAGCAGGGCATTATCCCTCTCGCTGCCTTAGGCTGGGACTGGGGTCTCCACTGAATCTGCACAGTGACAAAGATTGGTGAGCTTGGCTCCTCCACCCCTCTCCACCATTAAGCCCTACCCTTGGCTCTCCAAGTCTTTCCTTGAACACTCCACACTTCAGTATTGTTTTTGTTATTTTGTGACTGACAATGATTGCACAATTAATGATGTATAGGGAGGTCTGGTACATGTATATGATGTGTAATGACTGAAATCAAGATATTAGCATTTCCACCACCTCAGACACTTGTCATCATTTCCTGTTAAAATCAATCAAAATCTTCTCTGCTAGCTATTGTGGAACAGAGTGAACTGTTATCTACAGTCACCCTCTGTGCTGTAGTACACTAGGACAGGTTACCTCTATCTACCTGTATTTTGGTAGCTGAGACACAGCTCTCTCTAGCCCCATGCTCCCAGCCTCAGGCCTCTCTATTCCCCTCACCCCTTCTGTTTCATAGAGCTCTAGTCCCCAGGAGTGAGAACATGTGGAATTTGTCTCCCATATTCACTTATTTTATTAAACAAAGTAGTTCCATTCTTGTTTTCACTCTTAATGACTAAATAGCATCCCATCATGTGTGTGCACTGTTTTCGTTATTATTTGTAGGGGTGAAGAACCCTTAGGTTGCTTGCGTTTGAACAGTGCTGCAGTAAACATGAGAGCACAGCTGTCTCTGTGACACAATGAATCCCCCTGGCTTTGGATGCCTACCCAAAGTGGGAGTGCTGGATCACATCAAAGTTCTATCTGGAGTATTTGAGAAACGTCCATACTGCTTATGGGAATGGCAGCACTAATGTGGGAAACCCTCCTACCATGGACAAGGGTCCCTTTTCACCACATCCTCACCAGCATGAATTATTTTTTGTCTTTTGGATGATATCCATTCTAAGTTGATAAGATGATATATCACTGTGGTTTTGATTTGCATCTCCCTCAGGATAGTGCTGTTGACTAGTTTTCTTATATGCGTGTGCTATTCATTTGTGTTCTTTTGAGGACTATCTGTTCAGATCATCAGCCCATTTTTTAGTCATGTTGCTTGTTTTTCTCCTGTTGAGATGTTGGAGTTCCTTATACATTCTGGATATTAATCCCTTTTTATATGAACAGTTTGCAATTATTTTCCTTCATTCTGAGGGTTACCTCTCTACTCTGTTCACTATTTCTTTGCTGTGCAGGACCTTTCTAATTTGATATAATACTTTGGTTTGTTTTTGCTCTGTTGCCAGTACTATCTCAAACAATTGCTGCCTTTAGCAACTGAAAAGTTTCCTCTAAGTGTTTTTCAGTTATATTCATAATTTCAAGTCTTACATTGAAGTCCCTCAACCATTGTGAGTTCATTTGTGTAAGGGTGAAAGCTGGGGGACTATTTCATTAATCTGCATATCAATGTCCAGATTTACCTAATGATTTATTGAAGGAGTGTGCATTTCCAATATACTTTGGTGTCCTCATTGAAAATCAGTTGCAGGTAAGGATGTAGATTTCCTTCTGGGATTGCTATTGTATTCCTTAGGTCTATGTCTGGCAGGGTTTTGCCAGAAGCAGACTGATTGCTGTACTTTTCTGTATTTTTTGTTTCACCATTTGCTTATTTATTATTTTTAATTAGAATATATTTGTTGTACAGGGGGATTCATTGTGTCAATTCCAAATAAGCTTATACTGTACATGGGTTGGATCACCCTCACCACCTCTCCTCTCAATCCCCTCCTTGCTCCACTTAAAGCAACTGAAAGAGGTTTCTTTCTTCTCTTTCATGTAAGTATATGAAGTTCATGCACCATATATCCTCACCTTAATCTCTTCCATTCCCCCGCCCCCGCCTCCAGTATTCACACACAAGTACTCCAGCACACACACTGTACCTATTTTACAGTCCTGTGTTATGTTGTTAATATTTAAATCAAAGGGGTTTCTCAAGGTCTCCCTGCTGTGAGTATATTTACTTTGGTCTCTTCAACCCGCTCCATTACTCTCCTCTACCTTTTACCTCCCACACCCCATTTTTCAATAGTGTTCTATACACATTCTTGTATCCTCTACCTTCACACATACTTTGTTTTACTATATTATTGATGCTCTATCATTCTCTTTTCTTTGGGGTTGATTATTTAGTTCCCTGTAGATTCTGGATATTAGTCATTTATCGCATGAATAGCTGGCAAAGATTTTCTCCCATTCTCTGGGCTGTCTCTTGAGCCTACTGACTATTTCTTTTGCATGCAGAACCACTTTAGTTTGATGCAGTACCATTTGTTCATTCTTTCTCCTAGATTTTCAGCCTTTTGAGTTCTGTTGAGGAAGTCCTTTCCTATGCTTCCCTTTTCCAGTGTATTTCCTACTACTTCCTGCAGTGGTTTCAAAGTTTCAGGCCTTATATTAAGGTCTCTGATCCACATCGAGTTGATTTGGTACAGGGTGAGAGGTAGCGATCTACTTTCAGTCTTCTACGTGTGGATGTCCAGGTTCCCAGCAGCATTTCTTGAAGGCAATCATGATGATGCCTCTAGTTACATTCTCTTGATCAGTATTGCTTTGGCTTTTTAGGGTCTTCCCTACTTCCATATGAATTTAGAATTCTTTTGTGTCATTCTTTGAAGAACATTTCTGGTATTTTTATGGAGATTGCACTGATCTGTAGGTTACTATGAGTAGAGTGGTAATTTTAACAGTATTAATTCTTTGGATCCATGAACATGGGATGTCTGACCAGTTTTTGTCTTCTTTATGATTCCTTTCCTCAGTGTTTTATAATTGTCATTGCAGAGATTTTTCCTCCTAAGCTAAATATATTGATAACACTTTGACTTTTCATTCTGTGCTCTTTGTTTGGAGCTCTTCTATTTGAATTAATTTCCTTCATTCTTTATCAGATAGCTCAATATTGGTGTATAGAAGTCCTCCTGATTTACCTATGTTGACTTTATGTGCTACAATGTGACTTAATTTCTACATAAGTTCTAACAGTTACATGATTGTTTCATATATGAGATCATGTCATCCATAAATAGGAAAATCTGGAAACCTCCTTTCCAATACAATGCCATTTATGTCTCTCTCTTTTGGCTAATTTCTTGATCTTGGGCTTCTTAGAGTCTGCGTATAACAAGAATCCTCTTAATTCTCTCACTCTAGATATCTGATCAAATTCCTCTTCTCCCACCATCTTCCATGTCACATCTGATCAAAGTGGGGTACTTTTTAAAGTATACAATGAAGCCATTTACCAAGAATTAGCTTGTTAAATTAGATGTAGAAATAGCTTCTATATCCCATCTTTGTAATTGTCCATTCAACACCTCCCATTCATGCATTCAAAAACCTGTATCTTGGGCACAAATTCCCTTTCAGATTCAGGATATGCTCAGGAATTGACCTCAGTTTTATACTGAGGTATTGTTTACCTGCTTGCAATATTTTCTTAATAAATACATTTTAGTGCTTGAATACGGGCCATCCCAAAAGATATGGGGGCCCATGAGGAAGTATAAAATGGATGTGCTTCATTTCTCTGATTGTATGTGTGCGTGTGTGTGTGTGTGTGTGTGTGTGTGTGCGCGTGTGCATGTGTGTGTGTCATACTTGGTTTGAACTCAGGGTCTCATGCTTGCTAAGTAGGCGCTCTACCACTCAAGCCTAACACCAACCCTGTTTTCCAGTATTTTCAAGATAAGGTCGTGCAAACTGTTTAGCCAGGATGATTTCAAACCATAATCCTCCTGATTTCGATTCCTGAATAGCTAAGGTCACAGGAATGAACCACCTACTCTGATTTAGAAGTCATAGATTTTATGATATAAATGAACATTATGGTACAAGAAGAAAATTAAAAGAATTCTACAACTATATACAGAACAAAATAAACTGTTTACTCTGACGCTTTTGAAATCTGTGCAACAGATATCATACGGGCATAGCAGGGTGGAGGCAGGGGTGAGTGAAACATGGCAGGTCAGATGTTTAGGAAGCTGTATGGGCATTTCTTTAAATGCCTGAAGAAGAGATGGCCCCTTCCTGCAACCTCTCCTTCTAGAGAACAGGAGCAGATATTCATTGTGGGAAAAGGGAGGCCATGTCAAGAGGGATCTCTCAAGAGGCATGGGCTCCTGCACACTCTGCCCTCCACAGCTGTCCCCAAAGTGAGTTGTCAGTTCATTCCACACAGACCGGGAGACTACAGGCTACAGGATGAAGGACTACAGATCCAGGGACAGAAGAGATAAATGTGACGTGCATAACAACAGTTCTGCCTTCTTTCTGGGTGCAGGTCATCACCAGAGAGTCCACTAGAAAGAGGAAGGGGGAGGAAAACCCTGAAAGCTGTCTAAACATGCAGCCTGGAGTGATGAGGCCGTGAGTGTCTCTTGTGAGTTCCAGACACAGAAAGGAGCAGAATAGTAATGTCATCTTTTCTGCACCTCTGTGTTCCAGATGGATTCCTGACTTCCATTTGGACATTGTCTTTCAGGCCCCCAGATACAGCTATGTCTGCTCCCACTACTACTGAGTAGTGTCAGGAGTTCTTGCTCTTAGTTGTCCCTCACACAGATGCTGCACTGGATCTTCTCCTCTGCAGATGACAGGAAGAGTGGCTCTCCAGGTTGGTGTGTGCAGCCCACACTTTGTCCTGGAACACCAAGTTTGA